TTGTTTACTTGGCTTCTAATGATGCCACCGCAATAAGCACTGCTCTGTTTCAACCTCCGAATGGGACATGCTCTAACCAAAAGTCTTGGGTAACCAAGAAATCTAAGATGAAAGCTTTTACATCTAATACCTGGAGAGAGATTAAATTGTTCTAGACTCCTGTAGCTAACGACATTACTTGCATGAATTACATTTGCCTGATTGAAACTACTTGCAAACTCCATGTCTCGATGCCTTTCTACCGAGTAAAGTGAAGAAAATCCATCACCAAGTTGGCTGAGTGTACATATCCGCTACGGAAATTGACTGCGTTGAAGTCAACACTTGTCAAGTAAATGATTATTACAACCATCAAGTGCTACAAATAATTATGCCTGATAACTACGTAACAATCAAATGGTTCCAACGGCATAAGCCAATCACATTAAAGATGATATTCTGATAAATTAGATCAATGTAGTCTTGAGCTAATGGCACGAGAGTATCATCCTCTCAACACTTACAGATATGTGTGTGTATGCGTCTCTGCACGTGCACGCATGCGTGTGAGCAAGTATGTGACTGTATATGGGTGTGCGCTTAAACGTATGCATTACAAACAGCATTTTTGTGCCAAAAACCCAAGTTCAACTAGCAGGACAGCGTTCCAGTCTTTAGAACACAAACTAAAACGGTTTTCATAATTTAGTTGCACAACTTCAATACTTCATTTCCTAAATGCCAAATGCCACGTCTCAAAAAAAAATAATGATTATTATGTCGCAATACAATTCTCAACTCCAAATGCCGTGTCTCATTGCCACCACAAAAAAAAAACTATTAAATTGAGTCCGAATTCATACACACGAGAATTAAATTGGGCGCGGCGCAGATGCACAGTACTTATACGTGTGGTTAATTTTTTTTTTTCCACTCACTTTTCAACTAGTTTGGAATTAAACACACAAGAATTAATGTTTGAAACAAATTTTTAGCGCCATTGGACTGCCATTGACCGCTTCGCAGACCTACACAGAGATCATCGACTCCACAAAGCAATCCTAATTCGACTATCTCGATCGATGATTCCTATACTCAGCTCATTTCAATTCGTAAAATTAGAACATGACAGAAAATGGACGAAAAAAAACACGCACGCAGACACGCATATATGTGTGTGCGCGCGCGCGCAGAAACTGACGAATTGAATGCATAAACAAGTACGCACATGTAAATTTGAAATTGAAATTAGAGAGTTTCGGCGAAATGGAGAGGTAAACTCACCGATGAAGAGAGTGAAGTAGACTAGAAGAAGTTGGTGGCGGAGTGGCCGAGTGGAGGAGCTTCGGAGAAATGGATTTTGTTTTCTGGGGAAAGTTTTAGAGAGAGAGAAAAAATTAAGGGAAGCCGAAAATGGATCGACGGGGCTGGGTCTCGTGATATTTGTAGTGGTACTACTGCACTGCTGCTACTACTTGAATTTATTTTACGATGAGATTATGGAAATTCGTTTCTGGCCTCGCCTTCCTTGGCCTACTAGTTGCCTTCTCCCACCTCTCCACTCCTCTTGCACTCCACTTCCGGTTCAGGAAGAGCAAGCAAAAAGACACCGATGTTTTTGCTGGAAAATAGAAGACGTGGGGGTAAAATAAAAAATAAAAAAAAAGAAGATATTAACAACGGGGACCTATGATATATGGATAATTTATTAGTAATTTTACTAAAATGCCCTCCATTCTCGTATGAATTTTTTCTTTTCCTTTTCTTTTTCCCCTCCTTTGGAAATTTTAATTAAGTCTCATTTCATATCAAGTATAATTGCATATTTACATGGAATTGTTTACTTCTTGTATATAGAGATTTTCGTATGGATGTCATGTTCTTGTCTTCTCTCTTGGTTTGTAGTAGAAGTATATTACCCAATATAAATGGTGGAATGAATGTCGACAAATACCTATAACTTCCTAAGAAAAATATCATATGAGAAATATTTCTTGTAATAAAAAATTCTTTTATTTTTTTTTAGTTGGGAAAGGGTGAAATTTAATAAATTGAGAAGGGACGGAAAATTAGAACTCAGAATATCTATATTTTGAAGTTTCAACTTTAGTCACCGCACTCAAAACTTCCTCGATTTGTAATAACGAATTTATACCCAAAAAACCTACCTACAATTTTCTTCAATGCTGTATTAGGTGATCGTGTAAAAATGAGATATTAAGGCAGTTGAGGTTGACCTAATATCCCAATGCCACCTTGAAAAAGTAGACTATAACATGTCTTAGCAATAATGTAAATCTTACAACCATGCTGCCCCAATTACTTTATTAAAAAAAAAAAAAATCAAGCAGCGATTGTGGTCATGTATAAAAAAATATTTTTTTCCATCCTTCTATAACCAAAAAAAAAAATTTTAATGAAAATAAAAAATATTTCGTGATAGTTGTATTTCAAAAATACGGCCATAATTGAAATATTTTTTGAAATCAACAATATTTCTAGAAATTCGCCCCATATATTATACTTTAGGCCCTCATGCGTTCAGTGCTAATTATATTTTATTCGCTTGTGTTCTATTCGTGAATGCGTCTGCATTTGCGTTTTGTTTCTCTTATTTTTAGTTAATGGTTTTTATATGCACTAATAATTGGAGATGATATGATGTGTGTAAGTAACCTCATGAGTTGCCCGTGTCTTAACTTGCACTTTACAATCAAGATCATTGAGTGGCCATATTTTCTATTGCAGTCAATTTCTACTTGATAGATTTTACCATACTTATTCCTATTAATAAACCCCAAAAAAAAGAAGAAATTTTTTCTCTCAAATGAACTATAAAAAAAAAAAAAAAAAATACACCATGGAGTTCAACAACCTTTGCTATGAGAAGAAAGTAGATAACAAAATGAATGTGGTAAAATCTTTCTATGTAAATAGTAATGTACAAATTCTAGGTCATTCTTTAGAATTTGAGTTGAAGTAGAGAAAAAAACATAAAAATTATTTATTACTTCATTACCTAAACAAATGTTGTTGTCAAGATAATCACCGATGATCGTTTTTTAAGATTGACTATATATAAACAAATACTAACAGCGCATAACTGTCTCTAAACATTGTAACTATCAAAATTACAATCATTTTGTGGAAAGAAGATCAAAATAGCAAAATTAGCTTTAGTAATGAAAATTTATATAAAATTAATTTGCAGAAAAGATTCATGCATTTAAGCTGTACACATATTTTTTCAACTCCCGTAATGACTTTTCGTTGAAATAATTAATCCTAATCCCAGATTAACCTCCAAAAGCCAGCAACTCTTGAAGGCAACCCAGGGACTTAACTACCCAAATTTCTCCTAGAACCGATGCGGGACTACTTAACTAGGACCGTAGAGCACCTGCTACTAAGTGTGTACTAACACCCAATACCCCAGAATTCCTAGTTATTTGTCTTTTTTTCAACTCCGGTAATGACTTTTCGCTGAAAAAATTAACCCTAAGCGTGTACAGTACACATATCGCATGTGCCTTTAGCGCTAGTTTGAATTATTCATTCGCCCACAATCAACTGCAACACAAGCTTAGTCCTGGCTGAGTCATCAGTATTAAACTAATGAGCAATTGGACCTTTTTAGCCGCTAACCTACCAAACTCTGTAATTGTTGGCATGGTCTCCAAACAGCCTCGGACCCAATTTAGCCCTTCTCAAATGGTGATGATTATGTCCAATGAGACTTTTGCTCTCTTAGTACAAAAAATTAATTGTATTTAGACGGATCCCATTTTCATATAAAAGTTTTAGACGAAGAAATTGGGAAACTCGATTTAAGGGGGAACTTGGAAATTGTATAGCTAATTTATTTCCTTGTCAATAAATCCTTAAAAAAAAAGGGGGAAAAAAACTACAAAACGCAAACGGCAATAGGTGGCTAGTGTAGTGGAGTCTTCTAATGGTTAGATGCCGAAGGATATTCTCATAATCGGTCATGCCATTCCATTTTTGTTGGCATCTGCGGATGTATGACAGTTTTCTTAGGAGAATAATGACATTTTATTGCACGTTTTATTCTCGTAAGGGCCGCCGCTTTTGGAAAAACGTCTAAACATCGTGATTTCGACACAAATCTGATCTTAAGTAGAAATTGATGTTCAGAAACATGACCTTAAACTTGAACTACCTACCTTTAACTTTAAGATGAGGCAAGTTTTTCTCAGGCACTAATAGAGTACTACGTCACTAGGCCTTGTTCTCGATTATTTTAGAGTTTACAAAATTTGATTATAGAAAATAATTATAGAGAATAATCAAAATCAACAAAAGCTATTTCCTGTTCTCTGTTACTTTAGATTTTTACAGATTTTGATTATAAAAATTAATTATATAAAATAATTAATTAGAATCAGTAAAAAGCTACGTACTATTTGTGTGATTATAGATTTTGACTTTTTTTCATCATAAAAAATGTACGGAGATCAGAATACAAAAGCAATCGAGAATATCACAAACATTAATTCTCTAAAATTGAAATCTATAATCAGTTAAAGTAATCAATACGAAGAATAAGCCTGGCCTGTAGTGTACGTTTAACTAGATGATATATAGTGCAAATGGACCTTACTCCTCTTTTGTCACAAAAAAAAAAAAAAACACACACACACACACACACACACACACAAAGCAAAATGGTCCCTTTTCATGAGATTCTGAAGTTTCTTCGGTTCAATAACACAAAGAGTTAATTCATTTTAAAACAAGTTTAAAACTGCTAGCTAGGCTTCAAATTGTAAGTAACTATTTTACTACATTCTTGATCATCATATGCACACGACTCTTTCTCGCCCTTTATAATATATGTTCATTGGAAACGAGACACTGCGGCGGTCAAGAAACAACATGCCAAAAGAACAAAAAGCAAATGATTGGAAGCAAAAGCATCATCAGAAATGAAGGAAGATAATCACTGTAGTTGCCGCTACAAGAATAATTCACTTTAATTAATTAAAACCCTGTACTAAAAAGTTATCAAAAAGGAATATATAGTAGCTTGTACAACCATATATGTGTATATATATAACAAAATTACATAACCCCTTAATACACGCTTTGAAAATTAAAAATAAACTGTCAACAAATAAGACCACATAAAACTGCTCCTCCTCGTGAAGATTGAATTCCAAGAATGGAAAACTGTGGAGATAAAAGAGGGAGATGAGATGAATTGATGAATTAACAAAAACAAATTTCAGGATTGCTCTTGTGTCTGCTCAGCTTCTGCGGCTTGGGCCTCCGCCCCCTCCTCCTTTGCTTCCTCCCCTGCCTCTGGATCGACTGGTGCAACTGCACTTTTCTTGTGGGTTGCAGCCTTGAGTACGTGCTGATAGTTGCCCTTCTCCATGAACAGCTGAGCGAAATGGTGCTTGCAGTAGAGAATCCCATCAAGAGCAGCGTATGATGAATGCGTGAGTGGGCAGCCTCCATGAGCACATTTGAAGCATGATTTATGGTACGATTCTCCTTCCATTGTCACCTATATATGATTCAAGATATATATGTGAACAAAATTTAGCAGATTTTACTGGTTTGAAATTATTGGTTGGTTGTCCCCAAAAAAAAAATTGTGAAACATGCATGCTTGCGCACCTTCTCTAGAGGATAGACGGTTTTGCTGCAGGCAGCACATTTGTCTTGGGTTCCAGAGAACAAGGCAGAGAGTTTGCTAGGGGCCCTTGTCTGCATGAAAAATGTACGCAAGCACATATAATTGGCCGGCTAATTAGTAGGAGAGCAAGCAAATTCAAGCAAATGCACAACCCTAGCTATATAGAACGTACCAAGGAATTTTCCCTCTCATGCTTTCCTGCAAAAAGTGTATTAATCAATGATTAGGAAAATGCAAATCAGAAAAAGTTTATATACACACAAGGAGAAAGCTGTCGGTCTCCCACCGGTATTAAAATTTTTGCTAAAATTTCCAGATTCCTTGAAGAGCTGTTCAAAATGAGGCTTGCAGTAAAGGACTCCATCCATCGAGGAGTAGTTGCTCATCTGCACATTTAATGTACTTTAGCTTAACATTATTAATTTTCATGCCAACATTTATTAAATCCTTTTTGTTGTTGGCCTATCAGGTCAGATAGGTAGAGATGGATGATTGGAGAGTGAAACATACCACAAGAGTCCCTTTGCAGTGGCTGCATTTAAAGCAGGATCTATGAAAGGTTGCTCCATCAGCAGACAACAAATCAACAAAATAGACCGTCTTGTCGCAAGCCTTGCATTTATCCAAGGTTCCTGTGAATGCCATTATTCTTTCTTTTCTGTGTTGATAGATATTTTTCTTCTGCTTGAAAGATCTAAATCTCAATAACTTTTAGTTTGAAGAAAATGTATGATCAGAGAGCTGCTAGCTAGGATGGGCTGCCAAGGAACAAAAGGGAGAAGTTTCAACAAGAAAGCGCTTGGCCCCTTATATCCAACCTTGGTTATTGAGACTAGACAAAATCTTTGTACTGCCATAACAAAACTGATTTATATCAACCATTAATAGCAAATCAACTTATTTTTTGCAATGGTGAGTGGTTGAAGTAACTCTATTTCACCATTAAATCGAGGACACGTGATTGGAGATCCCAGTTTCATTGAGGCAGAGGTGGTGGAGATTAGTGATGTAAATTGTGGTGGATGTTATCATGTTTTACTCTTTTTAAGTCGAGAGATAAAATAGGCTGAAGTTTTGACACTTTCCATGACAATGCGTAGAAAAAGGTACCTGTAAAATGCACATCTTATTAATTTATCGCTGTTGATGTCTAAGTAGTTAATAATTCAAAAAAGTTACTAGGAATTAATAATAATGATATTTGCTTCTTCTTTTTTTTTTTTCTTTTATTAACCCATTTCTCCCGAGGAAAAAGCTTTTATCAGCCAATCTTTGACACCCAATGATGCTACTTTTATCAGTTGTAAAAATTACATCAAGGACTCCATTTGCATTCTAGGACATGTATCCCGAGATACATTTCCATTAATCACAGGGTTTCTCTCCTACGATTTTTCTGGATTTTTTTTGGGAAAAAAAATACTGTAGCGATTTAATAGATGTGAGATAAAAAGGTGATAAAAAAACGTGTTTACGGAAAATGTAAGAAAAATCGCAATCCAAACGGGGCTAGTACTGTACTAGTGTCAAGATTTTTCTACAGCACATAAGTTGGAGACTGAAAGTGCAGTAAATCTTTGTATTTTCCCTAAAACGTTACAGCAAGAACACAGGAGATTACGAAGGTTATTGTGGATTAAGTCCTTTTATTGGACAAAGAAAAGACAAACCAAAACGACGTTGGTTATTCAGTCCTGGTTTTAGATTTAGAAGTTAATTTTACGGCCATCACTGAACTTCGGGTATGGTATATATGCACGAGATGGCAGTCTTGCTACTCTTTTTCGCATTCTCTAAGGCACTTTACTTTTCACCTGCGACCTCAAATTCATCGTTCATTTTGTAGTCCTTTACGGATTAGGAAGCTTTGCTGTGAGAGTTTATTCAGTACCTTGTACTCTTCAATTTCATCACTTAAATTTAATGAATTTAGATTTTAATATATTCAGACCGTTTGATAATAAAAAATTAAAAATTTGAATTAATTAAGTGACACTGCATTTTCTAAGTAAAATTTGCTTTCAAAATTAAGTGATCAACTATTCACTTATCATTGAATATAATATACACTCAAATATATTAAATTTAATACTTAAGATCTTAAGACAACGAAAAGAAAAAAAAAATGCATATGTGACAAAACATTAAGGATAAATACAAGGTATGCACAGGCAACACAACTTGAACGCATAAGCAAATATTGGATTGCAGAGAGGTCTCGCGGTCCAATTTTATGGGGTTGCACAAAAGTCATCCGACTTGCTTCACCGTGTTTCGCGCTGCTTTGGAATTCGATTAAAGCCGAGCACTAAAGTTGAGGAATTCGGTTTGACCAGGTCCTGTCTGAAACATGGCATCGGTTTGCTTTACTTTAACCTATATTTAATCTACTTTGAATCCTTGATCAATGTAGAGAACTAAAAGATTAATTCAAAAGAAGAGAGATTCCATGCAGAGATTCTTTACATGCAGCAGAAAAGAATTAATCTTGGAAAATTGCTTGGACTGCCTGATTACCCTTTAATTCTGATTGAGCCTTGTAATTGCGTTTCTGATCATGTTACAGTTCTTTCTTACAAGGAAAACAATCACATATCAAAGTGCAATAATGAAAACTACACTTGAATTCCAAGTAGTATTAGGAGTGTAAATTAATCAAGTTACTTGACTCAGACTCTCACGAGTAACTCTATTAAAGGCTCGATCCCGAATTCAGCGTTGATCGAATTCATATCGAGTTCGAGCTACTCGATAAAATATTCGAGAGTTGAGTTTGAGTAGAAAAAATAAAAAATCGAGCAATCATCGAGTAATATAATTCTTAATTATTTATTATAAAATTATGAAAATTACTAAAAAATCAAACATGAAAACTCGATCGAACTCAATTAAACTCGATCGAGTTTGAATTGGTCGAATTCGAGCTCAAACAAGATAAAATAAATTCGAGCTCAAACTCAATTTTGAAGAATTCAATGAGTCGAGATCGAGCAAGTATTTTCACTCAAGTAGTGCACTGACTGCTGGACCCGATAGTAGCCCTAACACTCTAACAGTATCTATGTATTGCTGTGGAGCAAAAATAATCACTAGAGTTAATTAAAACCAGAAATGGAAATCGCTTTCAACGTGCCTTAACGAGGTAGCGCGGCGTCTGCGAACAAATACACAGATACTGACCCCCTTTGATTGTTTGACAATTTGCGTTCAGACATTCCATACCAACGTCAACGGCAAGCTGCTCAATAAATAACGTATGATCGTCCTTTTGTTTCCCGGATTTCGTTTTGTCATTGTACTGTCTCCGCCTAGTCAAATACATGTTCTGCAGATTCTAAGCTAATTGATTAAGCTTGTGCAAAAAGCATAACCATCATTCGACTATGTTTCATCTTATTCGTTCCAGTCAATTATTTAGAGCCATACGATTTATTAGCTTCTAAATTGGTATGCATGTACAATGATCCGCTATAAGTTCTCAATTTGACCCAAAAAAGGGGAAGATAAAAACTTAAAGGGGTCCATTTGGGACTTCAAATCAAGTGATCAGAATCCTGTACCAAAGAGCAATTTCAGGGCCATTTGAAAATTTTGCCTGATGAGCAGTGGTTGAAAATTTCACCCCATTAAATACCTGCCTATGTGGTTTGTCCTTGGAAGAAGAAAAACAAGAAGCATATTCTGCAGATACAATTTTCAGTACATAGAAAGAAACTAACTGATGCAGATGTTACCATCCTTGGCCAGTTAATTAGTGCAAAGCTTGGAAGCAGACATAGGGCCAAAACATTATTATCTCGTTTATTAACGTCAGCATCCAAGCTCAGCGATAGAAAATAGAAACACAACTGAAAACATTTATGAACACTCCCTGTAACATCTGAGATAATTAATACTAACTTGATGCTGCTCTGCTGTGCTGTGCTGTGCTGCGCTGCCAAATCATTGATGAATGTGAGCAATAATCATCATATATAAATATTGTAACAAACCCTCCAGAAAAAAAAAAACAGTACTTGAAGACAATTTCGACATTCACTATTAGCTTACTACTAGTATATTTGCCAGTCTTGAATACTATCTTTTTCAGATACAACAATCAGTATATAATCATCGAGCACACTCTAATCTGCTTGATACATGTGTGCTTGTTAAATTGATTGAAATTTAAATTCTTGAGCCCAAAAACAAAGAAAGAAAAGGAAAAAAAGAAAGCCTCTTTTGTCTCGAATGCACATCATCTCCAACAACCACTATATATAAAAGTTAAGGGCCAGCTCATTGATCTCTAAACTCATTCATAGATTGAAATACTATGGAGAAAACTGAGATGAGAACACGGAGCTTTCGCAACGAAGATTACAACAACAGAAGGGCATTCCTGAGAAGTTACCCCCTTTATGGTGGAGGGGATCAAGATGAAGATGTCAAAGCAGAGAGTGAAAAAGCTGCTGCAAATGAAACCACTTCAAAGAAACCTATGAAGAAGATAATCTTGTCAGTGTTTCACTGGGGAGGAGAGAGGGTTTTAGTCTTGAGAAGGTTTAAGCACAAGGTTACCTTCTATGTTGTTACTTGTCTTCCTGTTGGTCTCAAAGCTCCTACTGCCCTCATTTCGGTTTAGCGTCTCCTCAGCTTTAAAAGCTGCTATTTGTCAATATTTGCAGTGCTGTGTCCGGTACAACCGTGTGCATCTGGGGAAAAAAAAGGGATTTTAAGCTTTTCTATGTGCTTACGAAGCAAGGAGGAATTACTGAATCCGAGCAACGATCAAATAGCCATACTTCAGTTTTCCTCTCCTTGTTTGCTTACATGTGAATAGCTAGTAAAACAATAAACAAAAACTTTTTTTTGGAGAAATATGAATGCTATTTCACTTTTTTATACATAGATGTTTGTCATTTTGTCACTTTGTTATGATTTCACTTAGTTATACTTCAACTCGCACATCTTATGAAACTCTCTCATTATCCAATTTTCCAGACGGTTGAGCAAGGTCTAAAGCATTCACATTAGTTACAGTAGCTGACGAACTTTTGTTTGTAAGAAAATCGAAAGATTATGTACTCGGAGGATTATATCAGGTTAAAAGAAGGAAAGAAGTAAGAAAAATTAAGAGAGACCTTGTCCATACCTTGCATGGTTGCTTGGTTCCGAGCTGATTCCCTCCAGAAAAATCACGAAGTTACCCATGAAGAACAAACTTACTCAAGTTCATGCATCACAAAAATTGGTGTGTGCCTCCTCAATGTGTATTACTTGTTAGCACAATGCACATTGTGTTGCAGAGGCACTTTCTTCGGCCAGAAGCGCTTTTTAAATCCCATATTCTAACTTATCAAAGTTGCACGTTTTTAATTTCAAGACCTAAGTGGGTTTAGCCGTGTGGATACCAAAATGTGATTCTTGGTACAAATGGAACTGTTTACTGAAGATCAGGAACAGATTGTACAACGAATTTTCTTTGTTTCTTTGTTTGTTTTCGATTGTATAACTAGTTGAGCAAGGACATGACCCAGAATCATCAACAACATAAGCGTCCATTGCCTCAACCTACAATCAAGGAGGCAACACAACTAGCTGACTCAATATGAGATCAGATACAGATTTGCCATGCCTATCAATTCTCCTTGAGCAATTAACACCACCGTCCAGAATATTACGCACTACAACATTCAAAGAATGAATCCCCCTTGCTTCATAGATTTCCACCTTAACATGTTCATTTACCCACAAGTCTCTTCTTGCAACAGCATCTGAATCAGGAAAGGAACAGTGATTTGACAGAACTGAAACGGCTTCCTTC